ATATATACCAGACTAACATATATCTAGTAAATGCTAGAGCACTCCTGAAGGAACAGGATAGTTCTCGAAGATAGGTGGCGTGACACTAGTCACGTGACCTCGCTGACGCTACAATATGATTATATTAATTTTCAAGGTGGCATGCCCTCAGACTCCCCCCCCCCCTCTTCCCTAGATTGAGCTGCCTTTCGCACAACTGTTTTAAAAGCTTTCCATTCTCTCTCATTAAGCTTACCAGCAGGTCTGGGAGCTCATAACCCTCAATATTTAGTTTCGATACCTGCAGTGAACACGCAGAGCCAGATAGTCCACTGAGTAATTTTGCACTTAACAACAAAGTCCAACCCAAAACTCCCATTAAATGAATAAATAATATTGCGTTATTAACGCTTACCTTAATTCATATTTATAATTCATTTGCTTAATTTAGAAAAATATTTTATTCTAGATTTTGTTGTTCATGAAATTTATAATATAAATAGTGCTTCCAGTAAAATTGCGTGTGTCACCTCCTGACTAGCTTGATGACCTCTGCGGGAAAAGGCCTCGTCGGCACTTGATGTGACAGAGGTAGTGCGGATATTACCATATTAATTATACTTGTCATACAACATTGTTAGGCCTTTGTTTTAACACCACATTCTTAATGTAGTCTTATTAGAGTTTTACGGAATTAGAAGAGTGTATTACAATAGTATTTCAACCATTCCATATTTATAATATCCATTGTCGACGACGCGTTTCACTCAATCCATAGCTCTTCAAGGCGGCTGGGATACAATGAACACAGCAGTAGTTAGAATATTAATTATATAGCCCATTTCTTACAACAATAATTATTGTGGTGTAAAGACCTTTTACGAGCTGGCAAAACATAATAATAATTAATTATACTTGTCATATGGCATTGTGTTACGCCTAAAGAGCTCTGGATTGAACGAAACGCGTCGTTGCTGATGGATATAACAAATATGAAGTGGTTGAAATACTGTTATTCTATATTCTTATAATTCTTGAAAATCCCTATAGAACTAGATTAACACTGTAGTTTAAAAACAGAACAGGGCTTTTGAACGCTTTTTATCTCATCATATTTATTTTGTTATGAAATTATATATTTCTGATAGTTTAAAGGATCGCAACTAGGTGGCAGCCGTGTTTTTATAACTGAATTTTTGGTTTACTTTGATTTAGTTGGATCTGTATTTCGCTTCTCATCTGGTTGGTTTTAATTATTAATTATAGCTATAAAATGTAATGCAACATATTTGTATTGTTTTTAGTGGAGCACAGTTTTATTCGTAGGATTGTCATTATAAAAGAAAGTATTTTTAGCGACTCATAATCCTGCAGTTTGTCAGTTTCAATTCGGTCTCACTCTCAAGTATTGAAGTTGAACTTTGAAAATTGAAGTAAACCAAGGAAGGTTAACTCGCACTGTCAAAGTGAAGTTAAAACTTTTAAGTAATAAAAGTTAAACCCCTGCTTACATAATACAATCTTGTATTACTATCAGTAGCTGCTGTTTTAAAAACATCTTAATATAAATTATAGATGATTTAGGCGGAGTATCAATGATGAACAAACGTGAAACGGGTAGTAAATTGAGTAACTGCTCTGCCAGTTTGTGCTTAGTAATACTAACACAAGCAATGAAAGGTCTGTAAGTTGGAAAAAATTACTACAAAAGTAGCTCAAGTAGAAAGAATGGTGTTTCAAAAACTTCAAGAAGCATTTCGAAACGTCGTCCTTTCTATCTGAGCTACTTTTGTAGATTAGACCTACAAAAGTCCAAGACTACAACAGTACTATAAACTAGTGTCGCTGTAGTACAAGTTGATGCTCGTTTCAGCTTTGGTCATCAATATATATATGTATATATCATTGTCAGTTCGGCTTTGCAAGTTTATTCAACTATGATACAAATGCAGTTTAGTTCAGTCTTGCAAACAACTTAAGTAAAATGGTAGTCCTAAAATTAATCATAAGCCCCTCAATTGCTCTAATGTGTATAGTATATATATTGTTGAAAGATTTAACATTGAAGGTTAAAGGATTTTGGAAAGTTGATCTCAAATGAAATTTTTTCTTGAGGTGAAGGCTGTAGCAGTAAATTATCAGCAAATGTGATATTTAACAGAAGTTATTAGGTTAAAAGTCTGAACTATAAAATAGGAATTTGTTATTTTTTGAGGATTTGTTGTTGAAATCCACTGTTAAATCAATTCAAAAGTATGTAATTGTAAAAGGTTAATTTATTTACTGACTTGAAAATAAAGTATTACTCTGGCCTATGAATACCTATGTATTGGGGAGAGGCTATTGTCAGCAGGTATTATGAAAATCAAATATTCATTTGCATTTTAATTTATGGGAATTATTTGTATATGTCTTGTTCTTAATGGAATAAAGACATAACAAAGTAGTGAAAATAAGAATGCACTTGGTCCTTCAATACTGTTCTTGTACAACTCTTGAGGAATAAAAACATTTAAGCCCACCCTTCATTTTTCAGGATATTGTCAATTTCTCTCTTAAACTTATAAAGTGCTAATCTTCAACATGTCATTTCAATAAGCTATTCATCCTGTTACTAAAAGTATTAGAAAATAAAACGATCTTAACTAAAACCTAGTCTGTCTTTTACAAATCTTAAACTTGTGTCCTTTCATCCTATTATCTTTAGAATATAGCATGAAACAACCAGAGGTTTTTATTATATTGATCACTTGGATAATCTTGTAAGTTTCAAATAAGATCACTTTTAATAAAATTTATATTGTAATTGTTTGAAAGTTTTATTTTGGATATCTGTGGTTAGACCACAAGGTTATATCTCATGGGACTAGCTAATTTGCATAATTTTACACAACATTAATATCTGTACGTCACCTCTAGGAGAAGGTTGTGTCAGTTTCATAGTACAAGCATACTGTTAGAAGGTGAGTTAGCACTTTAATATAACAAAAAAATTATAATTGATTTAATTGATAGAAGGAATAATAAATTAATAGTAAACAAAATCATAAAATAAAAGTCAAATTCACTATCTCACAACTGTCTTTCATTAGATAGGGGGACCAAAACTGTACAGAATACAGTGAGACAAAAAATGATGTGTAGGGAGATAATTACATGTACCTATTTTGTCTTATAATCAGTATGCTAAAAATACATCTTAAAATTCTGTTAGCTTTACTACTTGTGATAGAGCACTGCTTGGGTGACTTTTCCACCACTAAGCTTAGATCCTTTTCTTAAAACACTTAACAGAGTTCCTATTTATGTATATTAAAAGAACCAAAGTATGATAATCTAAATACATAATGCCTTGCACCTTCTGTAATTAAAAGTAATTTGCCAATTGATTTAAGTCATTCTATAGTACCTAAACATCCTTGATACAACTACAAATACACAAAAGTTTAATGTCATTAGCATGTTTGCTGTAAATAAGAAAAAGCAAAGACCCAAGCATTGACCCCTGACACACACTAATAGTAACAAGGCTGTTGTATCAGTGACATGACATTTAAAAAGATGTTCTGTAGAAGCATAAGATTATATTTTTAGCAAACATTGGCTTCAAGAATGATGCATAGACAAGTGGTTGTCTGCAAACTAATTATTTTAGAATTATTTAAAGTCTTTAGCTTCAAATGTAATGCATTAGGACGAGATATGAAGTGTAATACAATGTAGCCATTGTTGGCCCTAGTTGTCAACGTGATGTCATAATGGATAATGCCTGTAGTCAGAGCACCCAGTTGTGTTGGGAATATCCCGTTTATCAGACAAAATCCAAATGCTGATATTAAACTTGTGAGCTGTCATGAAAAATCAGTTAAGGGTATGTAGCTGAGTGCTTACACCCACTACATCTCAATTTGTACTGTCTGCAGCTAGTTGTGGGAAGGCAGTTACCCTTAGAGTTCTTAAAGTAGAAATAAATCCACCCTAAAATTTCTATGTGAAATACCCGATCTCTGCTCTTACAAAGGATATTAAAAGGAACAAAATGATCTTAAAGAGAACTACAAACTCAACCTTATTAGTTCTTACATTCTCAGCTTCCTCCCTTTCTCTTGAAGATTTATCCACTTTCCTTTATTTATATATATATATATATATATATATATATATAAGTTAATGGTTTTAAGAAAGTGAAAGTGGGTGTTAAAGAATTCTCTGAATGTAGTATATACTTTAAAGTATTTTTATCACTGCCTTAAAAATGTGGAGTAAACATTAAGCCCAGAATAGAGCTGGGCAATTATTGAAAATCACTGGGCTCACTAGTACATTCAATTAATTATTTTTATATAAGACGAAAGTTGGAATAATCCAAAATAGTAACAGTTGGCAATACTAAATCTAATATGTTGATTATTTCTGCAAGTATAGACATTATTCAATTAATCTTAACAACCTTGAATGAATTGAAAATAACGAGATCATGATGGTAATATTTTGATGACTTGGATATTTTGAATAACTGGAAATGCTAAGTTCAATTGATAACTTTTGTGATATTAATTAGTTTAGTCATAGTTTTAAGTAATTGAGTGTTTTACACTACACTAATCAATGCTTGTAAGTAATCAAGTTAATAGCCCAGCTCTAGTCCTGAAACAACTGTATGCCATAGAGTTATCTCTTTCTCAATAAAATTTTGATTGAAAAGTGGATGTTCATTAACTTATCTTTCATGATTTTAATTTTTATCCTCTCAAAACAAATTTCAATGTTATTTTTGAATTTATGTGTATAAATAGAAATTATTTTTGCATGGTTTATTATTTCTCATTTAATTTTCCATTCTACATCATGTGTGTAAGAAATTTTGTTCTTAATTTGATGTGCTCTATGCTGTACTACCATAAGGAAGTGGGAACAAGAAGCTAAATTTTGTGAAAAAGTGAATAAAATTTACTGCTATTTTTTATTTGTTTGTAAAAAAGAGGTGTTTCTTATTTGTGACATACTGCAGATAAGACATAACCAAAAACCTTCCTAGAAAACTCTTGTAACTGAAAAAGCTATATTATGAAACTAGTTTTATATTTCAGTGAATGTAAATGTAATGTCATAATGTATTTTAATATTTCAAAATATTTCTTGCTTTTCTCTATGTATAAACTCATGTGGTACATCAAAATTACATATATATAGTGTAATTTGGAAGTTTGGAAATAATATGGGCCCAATTCTGTAGGGTTACTAAATAATACATAGTCTAAAGAGGAAAAATTCATAATCATTTAGTCTGGTAAATGCTCAGACACCTAAGTAATGTATTTTTTTTTTGGTAAGTGTAGAAATGTAAGTAGTATATTTTATTCTTTAAATGTTTAATGATTATAGGATAAATTTTTAAATATATAAAGTAATATTTAAGGGCAATAAAGGACCTGTTGGCCCATCAAAGGCTGCACCATCCACTAAAAAGAGAAAAAAACTCAGATCCAGTTGTGATGATTTAAATATTTTTCAAGCATTCCCTTAAACTTCTGGCATCCACCACATCGAAAGACTGATCATCCTGTTAGAAAAGTAAAAATGTTTAAACTGAAGATTACTCCTACCCTGCAAAAATTTATATTTTTGTTCCCTTGTTGTACAATTCTTAACATTAAATATGAAAAAAGGTTGATACATCAGTATTATCAGTTCTTTTAATAATCTTGAAAACCTCAGTCAGACCCCCCCCCCTATAACTTTTTTCAAGGAAAAACAATTTCACAAATCTTAACCTGACCTCATATCACATCCATTCCAGGTACCATCCTAGTAGCCCTCCTTTGAACCCTTTATGATAATTCAATGTCCTTTTTAAGGTTAGGAGCCTGAGACTAAAAACAGTACTCCAAATGTGGCTTCACCAGTGACTTACACAATGAACTGATTATCTCTTTAGACTTGCACTCCATATTTTTGTAAGTACAACCCAAAATGCTATTTGTTTTACAACTAGCAACAGCACATTGCTTAGGTTGCTTATGACACTGATCAACTAAAATGTCAAGATCCTTTTCTTTCATACAACTGTTAAGGTTATTGCCATCAAAATTATACTTATAATTTAAATTGTGATAACCCACGTGCATTATCTTTGATTTATGTTAATTAAAAGTCATCTGCCACTTTGCCTAACTTGCCAAATAATCTAAAACATTTGTAAAATAACAGCATCCTATTCACAGAATATTATCAGCAAACATAAGCAGTTGATTGACCATTTCTTTAATTGTGACATTAATGGAAATAAAAACAGAGCAAATGTCCCAAACTGAGCTCTGAGGTATCTCACTTGTGATGTTAATCCAGTTTGACTGAAATCCATTTATAACAACCCTCTGCTTTATTCCTTCCAGCCTTTCTTCAATGCAATGACTCACCTTATCCACCATATCCTTAGAGATAATTTTTTTAACAAGCTTTTTAAATATACTTATAAATATAAATGATAGTTGGGGTCTGTGAAATGAGATTATGTTAAGTGTGTGGTCTTGTTATTTTGGGGTACCCACAAATGGTAATTTTTCACATCCCTTGCAGTACAACATTTATTGTTTTGCATGAATGAACATGTGGGGAGTGAAAAAAATAAAGAAAATAGTTAACATTTCATAGGCCTGTCTCTCTCTTTCTTTTGCTTGAAACCTTCATTCTTGTGGGAATCACTTTTAGTGGCTAGTGTTTGTGATCTGGCAGCATCTTATAGCACAACCCTGTTTCATTGCTGTTGAAGATTTGTTTGGTAGTGTATCCACTCTCCTTCAACAGTGATTTCAACTCACTTGGGTAGGAATTGGGAGCAGCATTATCTGCTGAGTAAATTTCTCTGGATACAAGAAATTAGCTGATGGCGTGTACCTTTTTGAACTTATCAAACCAGCTTTCTCCATTGATGCTATGACCAAACTTCTCAGCCTGTGCTTTAACATTCATGCCAGAAATGGGAAAATCTTCCAAGCAAGCCATGAACAAAACACTGTCAAAACTTGCATATTTAGTGATAGAAAATTGGGAGCCAAACTTTGATCCTGTTATCTGAATTCAAGTTATATCGGTGCACACTTTAATGGGGTTCTACTGTATATATAATTACTTGTAGATTTATTGTAAAAAAACAAAACATTTGTTATTTTGAAATCTTTAAATTTTCATATCATTCTGTGACTGGGAAGCAAGTTTTGTAGTTGATGACAACACTTGCTTATATTTAATAATGGTGAGAAAGCTTGAGAAATATTGAGTAAAGGAATTTATAGGATAGTTAAGGTAAGTACAATATTGGAAAAATAATATTTATGGCATAAGTTAAATAATAGATTTATACAACTTATCAGATTTTAAAAAATGAACTTCATAGATTCAAGAGTAAGCTTAGTTGTTATTATTCTAATATAGGACTATGAGGAACAAAATGTATGAGTTTAACACTTATATATTTATATTAATTATTATTGTCTTTAATAAACAACTCATTATTCAGAAGAACTGGCAAATCATCAGGCTTGTCCTCTTGCTACCAGCATGGGTCAAGCAACTACAATATCAATAGGAGAAGAATATAATATTTTAACCTCACTATATTTGTTATATCTAGTGTAGTCATAGCCTTTTGCCTAATACCAGGGCTCTTCCTGCTCACTGGGATACAACAGACACAGTAGTGGTTGAAACATTATTTATATTAGTGAATTTCTTAACAATAACTGTTACAGTATGAACTGGATTAAGTTGATGAAATGAAATTTTTCATCAATCTTATTTATGCCACAAGAAATAAGAATTAGGGTATAGATTTGTTAGTAATATATTATTTATTTGGGAAGTGAACTAAAAGAATATTGTTAGTATCAAGTTAAAGCTTGTTTCAAAGTCTTTCCTTCAAAATAAAATTTATTGGCTTTAGTCAATCCATTTTATTCAGAAATGTTTGTAAATTTTCAAGGTCCATTAACTCAGAACTATGGTAAATTCACCCTTAATTATATAAATTGTTAAGGTTAACTATTTCACAACAATACTGAATTCACTTTTAACTAAGTTACGCTGCTTTCCCTTTTAATTTTGTTTAAACCACTTTCAGAACATAATTAAGACACACAATTCAAGTGAAACTTCTTACTAGGTAGATTTCATGTTAGTAAATGCAATTGCTTGAAAGAGTAACGTAATTTTTTTCTCAAAAAACAGGATGGAAAATATGCAAAATTGTTCACTTTTAATAAAAACCATTATATTTTTATAAAAAAATATATGCAAACAAATCTTTATTAAAAACACTGATATACACTTTTCATGAGTGAATAAGAGGTCAAAGGTATACAGGTGCTATGAACATTGGGAAAAAGTTTAACTGGAGTGCTGCTCACATGTGAAGATGCATTTTTAATTTCACTCTTTCTGGAGACATTTGTAATCCTTGTTCTGTCAGATATAATTTGAATCATTGATCATGTCTCTGTGATACTTACTTTAAGATAGAGCAGTGTTTGTTTTAACCTTGATTTTTATTCCATAGGTCAAATTGTGACTTTGGATTTCTCAGGAACCACTGGAGCTAGAAACCTGAATATTTTACTTTATAAGTTTTTTTGTAGATTTTATTCTAATATTCTTCCCAGAATTTGTTCTAGTTCAGTTTTAACCTTTAAACCATTTAGAAAATGTGTAACAATGAGAATGGTTGAAGAGGAATTTTGATAGTGATTATGCATGAACGAGATATTTTTTTCAATATTTTATATGAGATATTTAAGCCAGCTCAATATCTTTTGCCTCATTGAATTATCTTTTCTGTTATTAAACTCAGTGCTGTATGTCCTAACAGAAAAAAAACAAAAACATTTTAATAATAGAAAAAAGCTTTTTTCCTGAAATTTTAGGCTGTTTGAATATAAGTGTTTTGTTACAAACTCTCATTGTTCTGTTTTTTTTTTGTTCTTTTGTAGGCTTCTGTATACTCTCAGTTATGGAGGATAGTGGATTTGATAGTGATACTTCAAAGTCTAATCTAAAGCCTTTGAACTCTAAACCACAGCATATTCGAATGTTTTCCAATACAGAAACCTCAAATAAGAGCCATCACTGTGGAGATTATGAAGAATCTCAAAAGCCTAATGATGATGGAGGTGGAGCTGCAGACCTACAGATGTTCCATGGTTCACCACCAGCTGAATTCAGTATACCTGCAAGACCAGTTGAGCCTAGTGAACCCAAGAACCTGAATGTAAAGCAGTGCTGCATGTAGATAAGCATGATATAACTGAAATATACATATATGTATATATATGATTTGTTTTTGTAGATATTCAGTTACTGTTTACCTAGGTCTAAGAGTCAGTACAGTTGGGATAAATGTAAAGACTGCTTCCAACAGTCACATTATAGGAAAGTAATGTAAATTTAGGTAAATTTAACAACCTAGAGGTTTTCATGTTATAATGTATGTACAGGAATGAACTATATTCATGAATATGTGTATTAACATACAAATTACATTGTATATGAAATTGATATATTTTGTTAAGGTGGTATGATAAGGATAATCCAAGCACTCAGTTATTCGATCTCTGTTATAACTATAGATTAAGGACTTAGTAGTGATTTGTTGTAAGTAGAATAAAAGAAACAAGATGCAGTGTGAAATTGAAATGAAAAATATTTACTGAATATGAAAAGTTGATCATTTAGTGGAAAGTCTATTGCAGGATATTGAAGTTAAAGATAAAATAATTGGAGAAAGTAAACTGTATAAATAAAGAAAAGAAACTAGAATCAATAAAAGGTTGAGAAGTTAAAATATATTTCACAAAAAATGGAGTTCAGCCCTACACAATCAGAAGATAAAAGAAGAAATGATTAAATGGAGATGAAAGTCCACTAGCTAGTCTTGATCCTTTCAATTCAGAATTGAGTATTTTTAAAAATGTCAAATATGAATTCTCTGTAGCTGACCAGTCAGAAAATTGGATCACAAGAATCTGCTAAATGTTTATGTGTTCTGGCCTGGAACCTGACCAACTCTTCAACTGGGAAGTTGCTGTTTTAGAGGTGCATCAGTGCATTAACATGTTAGAAAATACAGCTATCTAGGGTTGGGATTCAAAAATTGTAAATGTGGTTTCCTCCAAAAAAACTTAGACATGTGTACCACATGTCAACAGCCAACTATGAAGACATTATTTGGGAATTATGAATCTGAATGAAGATGTATATGAGGTATGAGAATGTAACTTTGATTAAGCTATGAAGTAAAAAAAACCTGCAGGTTTAGCTGCAGTTGCTTTGTTGGAGGCAAAGCACCGTAATGTTAGTGTGCTGACAATTAAACTCAAAGTCTTAGCCATGATAACAAACCATACTTATTAAAAAGATTACAATGATGAATGGGTACTGAATACACTGAAGGAAAAGCTCTGAGAAGTGCAGAACATTTAAAGTACTCGTATGTATCCTGGGCACTACTAGTTGTACAGTAAGGTGAAGTGTGATCATCACAGATTGGTAAATGTGGTATTGAATCTTGCAACCTCTGACAATTCTTTGACCAATTAAGGATGCAGGAAGAAGTGTTGTACAGTTGTTAATACCTACCTACCCAAGTGCAGTGCTTGACTTGTGATGTAGCTAGTGGTTGCAAGATCTCTGAGATCTAAAATTCTTCAAATTCATACAGGTAATGAAGGACTACAGCCAACTGTTGGCCACATTCATACAGGTATTGAAGGACTACAGCCAACTATTTGCCACATTCATACAGGTATTAAAGGACTACAGCCAACTATTGGCCACATTTATACAGGTATTGGCCACATTCTTGCAGTATTGAAGGACTACAGCCAACTATTGGCCACATTTTTTCTGACATGTAGAGTGATGGTGTATTCAACTTCCAAAAACAAATAAGGGCCATGTGTTGAAAAACTGTTGGGATTTTCCTCATTGTGGTCTATTTGTGCCATAATAAGTCCAGAAAAAATCCAGAAATTCTCAAACACTAATATTTTGGAAGAAAAAAATATTGGTTTTCTGGTTTATTAGTATTAAGGCATTCGAGCAATGTACTTTTGTTAGTGGCATGATATATAGGATTTTAAGTTGCATTTACTGAAATATTGAACACAAGTCTAAAGTGGTTATAAGTCATTGTATAAGCCACTGGTTAAGTTGCATTTGAAGTATGGTGTTCAGTCTTGGGTTCCTTACTTTAGAAAGAACATTGAATTATTGGAAATGGCTTAGAGGAGGGCTACTAGGATGATACCTGGGGTGGAAAGGCTGTCATATGAGGATAAGTTAAGACTTCTGAATTTTGTTTTCTTTTGATAAACAAAGTTAGAGGGGATATGATTAAGGTTGTTAAGGGAATAGATAATCTTGACGTATCATATTTTTTCATACTTAATGGTGAGAATGGTAAGACTAGGGGACACATATATAAATTTTGGCAGGGTAGAAGTCATCTTCAGCTGTGTTTTATTTTTCTAACAGGGTGGTTGGCCTTTGTAATGGGTTGCCTTAAGTTGTTATAGATCCATTAATTTAAGAGGTTTATAAGCAGTGCTTATTAATTAAATAAGGTTGTATATTGTTCTCCCAAGAGACATAAACAGTATGTTCCCAATTTTTCAGTTAAATGTTTTCTAAATATCTAGTATAGAATTTATCAAAGTTTTAGAAATTTGGTAAATTTAAAATCCATTTAACATTATTAAATATATTTAAATTTTCTGACGTGTATCATTAAACTTTTCAATTCCCAGTTTTCTTATTGTTTATTGCCTCTGGTAACATTCTTTGAAAAATGCATAAAATTGTACTGTATTTGTAATGTAATGTTACTGTAACTGTGCTTTTAGTGCTAGTTGAGTAATATTTATTCCTTTATGTGCAGTTTTAATCAGTTGTAATGCACACATATCTCTCATCAGTTTGCTTCATTTTAGTTAGCACATGATTTCTGAAAACGTATTTTTCCTACATTTTTCACATATTTTTCTCCTTTGATTTTATAGTGATCTGTTCAATGTTGTAAATTTTTGTAATTCCTTTAATACTAGTTTATTAGGTGCATAGAAAACTTTGGCATTGTTGTTTATCTGGTTCTTAGGTTAATCATGCTTATTTAAAGTGATATACTCAAGTTTTTAGGTTCAGTTTGAGGTAGTTGTATAGCATTAATGTAAACATATATTGTACATTTAAGTGGTATATCTCTTAAGTGCAGTGTGTATAGCCATATCTTGTGAAATTATTAAGATTTACTAACATTTAATAGTATAGTATAACGGTATTATAGAAATTTAGCTTGATCTAGTGATATGAAATATAAATATGTGTATCCCAGTAATCAGATTTAGGATGGAAATTGAAACACAGCATATTTGTTATACTTAGGTAATTTCATTAAATATTTAGATTTACAAGGCTTATAATACTATTATTACATCAAAAGAACAAGTCAGCTGTTTTTTTTATTATGATAATATTACATACACTGTATGAAACTATAATGTGTGTTACTAGAATAACAAGTTTCAAAAATTTATTATGTTATTTTTTTCAGAAATTTGGTGTTTGAAATAATATAATAATAATAATACTTACTGTAGAAGAAGAATTATTTTTTATACACTAGAGGTCTTTTAATTACAAACAGAAACAGTGAATTGAAATATGCTCAGTGATATCATATATAACTAATGCATATTGTGGTTTGACCCTCTTTATAACCCTAATTTTGAACCAGAAAATGCCTTAAAGACTGAAAGGCTGTATATTTATGTTCATACATTATTGATGTGAAAAGAAAAACATTTTTTCATAATTATTGTTTTGATATGACTTGAAAATGATTCAGGAACTTTGCCAGAACTTTTGGTGTTATGTTACAATATACTAGCATGTGTAGATAATGAATTATGTGTTTCATCAAAACAATTTTGAATGTATTTTTATGCTAACAAAATACACTTTCTTTTTTGTACAGTTATAGTCAAAATTGGTCCATGTACCAGATAAATACTAGCTGTCAACTTTTTTGCTAAAGACTTCATGATAGTATCCACATATATACAGATGTAACATTCAACAGCTATTTGTTAATTTGGCAGAATATGCACATCTTTACGTTTTATATTTGTTTATATTTTCCTAGGACTAGAACATTATGGCTGATAAAGTAAATTATTACATTTCAGTGTTCTGGGCAGACAGAAGAAATCTCTGGTGGCGTATCCTCAACAGCATCTTCAACAAAGCCCCTTCCCTCAGTAGCAAAGTTACAGAAGAGATTAGGTTGGAAGTTTTGAATTTTTGGCTAATAGCTTTTTTTTTATTTATTTAATACAGTTTTAGAAATTACATTTTGTACAGTGAATATATAAGGAATTTTTGACAGTTTTAAATATTGTATGCATTTTATTAATTTAATCATTTTACACTTTAAATTTGTAAAACCTTAAAAAAATGTATAAACTTAAACCGCAGTTTTTAAGTTTTTTGGGATTATATGCTTTATTTATAGATTCTGTAGCTGTGAAGTCTGTGTTGCAAATATATTTCAGCATTTTATTAAATACTTTAAGTAGTTTGAAAGCCCCTGCCACTTTTTTTTTAATTTTCTAAAGAAAGGTGTTCATATAAGTATGTAGATTGTTATATAGCTGTTTGTTCCTAACACTGATCATTGTCTTACCAATTTTAACACTTTGTGTTACCAATGGCTATTATTATTCTTACTGTAAAACACAACACTTGAATCAATATTTAACCAAGATTTCTGATTGTGCAAAATATATTCTGATAGTTTATAATCTCTTCCGATACTAAATGTATAATAAAAAGTTACAGGCCTGTTGATAATCTAAAAGAATAAATGTTTTTATCTTACCTTATTCTATCCCAAAATAACAAATTATTATAGTTGTTTGTTTAAATACGCTTACATTTTCTGTGAAGGTATAGATTTTTTGACATAATAAGTAGTATGTCTTAAAACCTTTTTGTTCCAGAAATATAACAAATCCTAATATTACTAAATTCTGTTCTTTATTAAGAAATCACTGCTATACGTGGCACAAATGGTATGTGTGTGTGTGCTTGTTAATGTGCTCAACTATGTTTCTAGGTTAAATCCTAGTAAAGTTCAAGTGGCGAGTTGAACATACAAAATACATGGCTGAAGACTTGTAACGCTAAAATCAGGGTTTCATACCTATATTGGGCGCAGCACAGATAGCTCATTGTGTAGCTTTTTGCTTAACTGTAAACAAACAAAATGTAAAATAACAGCCATAAACTGTGATTTCCCTTATAATTTTAGTAATAAGTAATTAGTATAAAATATAGAGTTTTTAATTTTTGTGAATTAACTTTTAGATATATATTCAATAGGTTTACAATGTAACAGAAGGTTTGCTCAAGATATTGATCATGTAATAATACTGAGTCTTGTATTGAATCAACATTAGATTAACTTTAGATCTATATTGAATAGGTTTACTATGTAACAGAAGGTTTGCTTAAGATATTGATTTTGTAATAATACTAAATCTCTTATTTAATCAACATTACATTAACTTTAGATCTATATTGAATAGGTTTACTATGTAACAGAAGGTTTACTCAAGATATTGATTATGTAATATTACTAAATCTCTTATTGAATCAACATTAAATGAAATAAAGAAAGTGGACATGAAGTGTAAAACATAAAAACACAATCTTTATTATTATTGACAAAGAAACACAAACACAGTATGTGTACTTTGTGGTTATAATTACCATGGATGATTGTTTTTACTGAATATTGTAACCATCCAAGTTGAAGTCATGTACAAGACTGAACTGATATATGAAGACAAAGTTTTATACTGACTAAATACAATGTTTTTAGGTTTCAAGAAATCTTGCAATTACCACATGATTGGTCATTCTCATTACAACAAAGGCGCAGCCATAATCTCTAGACATTACATGAACAACTGTTGAAAGACACTGATTTCAACATCTTTACACAGTGTGCTATATTATGCAATGCTCTTCCTAGGTGTTAATTTGAAACATGATCTACTTAGTGGCTTTCATGACCATGTATTATGCAAAACCTGCACATATTCAAAAACAAAGAATGAAATCTAAATAAGCATAATGCTACAAGTAGCTAGAAACACATGGTAAATTGATATGTCACATTTTCCTGTTTTCCCAGCTGCAGGCTTGTCCTCAAGCTGGCAATTAACTTTAATTTTAAACCCAATAATATGGAAACTTGTGCTGGCCAAGGATTACATTAACTCTTTCTTAGTTCCAAAAACATTTAATACCACACAGGTGTCACAGCTCTTGAACAAACAAAAAAATCAAGCAAAAATACCTTTAATAAAAATCAATACAATACTACAAAAATACCCTTGAACAAAGAAAAATTCGAAATTGAACCTTTTATTACAGAGAACTCAAATTATATAAACTAATAATTTCATTACAATAACAACCTTTAACAGTGAATTATATTACATTCCAGCAAAGTAAAACCTTTAACTGAGTTCAGTGTTACAACTGAAATTGAGAAAAATATTCTTTAACATAGAACAGATACATAATTTCAAAATGAAACCACTTCACATAGATGCAAGCATAAAATCACACTAATAGAAACTCTAATCTTATACCTTGGCTAAGTCATAGTGTGCATGTCATGACCTCTTACAAAGTTACATTTAATTAAATAACTTTATTATCAATGTATGTTAATGAACTTAGTGTTAAAATGTAGTTTTTAATTCAATGTTTTATATTATCTCCACTTTAATTTCTCAATTTTAGAATTACTGTATTTCCTTTTATGATTTTGATAGTGTTCAGTCAATTAGAAACACTAACTATAGATGTTGACAGGCCAGAATACACAATTTAAATTTCCTACCTTAAACTGCTAAGATTTAGATATATTTATAACAACTGTCAGAAGCTCCTCCATTATTATTACATCTTTGAATGAATTTATCTGTACAATATGATCCGTACTAATAGAATTTTAGTATGGCTGTATCTTTTTTGTGAACAGACACTTGCCTCAAATGTGTTACTTGTGATAATTTTTACTTCTGCACCAAGCAGATAATGGAATTTTTTAAACCTATTTATAGCTTAGTTAGAAAGCCAGTTATCACTTTCTACTATGGGTCACGGGTGAAAGGCCATGTCATCACATTTGTTGACTCGCATTCAAAATTTTATTGAACTACTATTTTATGAATTTATGTCAATAAGTTTGGTATCAAACTGTAGATTATAATTAAAATTTTAATATTATATATTACTCAATTTCTTA